GACTGCTCTTTCGAACAGTTTTGATAACCCTGAGAGAAGGCTGATTGATCGATAACTTGAAGGAGAGGACGGATCCTTCCCAAGTTTCCGGATGGGTATGACTTTAGCTGACTTCCAACACGAGGGGAAGTAGCCAAGTCTGAGGCACTTATTAAAAATCAGTGCCAGATGGTTGTAGAATCTGGAACTCAAGTGTTTGAGTTCCAGATAGGATGTTGTCGAAACCTGGGGCCTTCATGTTTTTAGATGATTTGATAAAGGCCAACAGTTCGTCAGCCGTAATCTCAGATTCCTCTGGAAAAATGTTAGGAATCTGATGACCTCAGATTCATGAGGGCTGACGATGTTTTGTCCGAGATTATGGGAGCTGACGAAGTGTTGACCTATTGCGGCAGCCTTTTCTTCAGGAGTTATCAGATGAACCACTGGGTCGCCGGGACGATCCAGTGGGGTCAGTGGTGGAATGGGTTTTGGCTTATTTTTAAGGATTTTCGTTAGTTTCCAGAAGGGCTTTGCACAATCTGGGAGAGAGCAGATCTTGTTAGCAAAATCTTGATTTCTGAGGTCCACCATCCTGGCTTTTATGGTTTTTGTAAGACGATTGCAATGGGTCTTCAAGACACGTAAACCAGAACGCTGGTATTGCCTTCGGATGGAGTTACGGAGTCTGATGAGATCTTTGGTAATTCTATCAAGGTTCAGAGTATTGGTCACCTGTCTGGATACTGGCACGTGTTGTTCCCTGGCCCGGGATATCGCCACCTCGATGGAACGCAGACACCGGTCAACGTCTTCGGGCGTCACCGTAGTCGACAGTGGAGTCTACACAGTGTTGGAACTGCTCCCAGCTGACACGATGGTAGTTGCGTCGGGAAGCTTGGATTCGGTTGACGGATGAGCCTCCGAAATAGTGGTCCGAACTCAGCTCCTGATGGGTCACAGGTAGCGAGATGTTGTCTCCCATGTTGCTGATGAAGATGTCTATCTGGGTGGGACAGTCCGGCGCTAATATGGCGTAGCGAGCCTCTTGCAGGTCGTCGTTCAGGATGGTGCCGTTTTGGTTGCGTCCACTGTTGCCCCAAGCCTGGTGTTTGGCGTTCAGGTCGCCAGCGATGATGTACTTTTCGCGCCGTCGAGTTGGTTTGATGATGTCCCTCCGCAGGTCTGCTGCCGACCCGTCCCTGATGGTGACTTGCTTGGGGCAGTACGTCGCAATGATGGTGATAGGGCCGACAGGAGTGGAGACTTGGTTTTTAGCTGGAAGATCGGCAGAAGCCGACAGCAGATGTTTCTCCTTACAGCAATGGCCACTCCTCCTCCCCCGGAGCTGGTTCGATCATGTCTTAGAAGCCGGAAGTCAGGAAGGTAGATGTTTATCTCCGGTTTCAGGTGGGTTTCGGTGATAACGGCAATGTCGATGTTTTGTTTGTTGAGGAAGTCAACGAGCTCGATGATCTTGCTCTTGAGCGAGCAAGCGTTCCAGTTGGCGATCTTGATGGTTTCACGGTCCATAACTTAGCATGAAGGTAGCCACAGCTTGGAGCTGGTCGGATTTGTTCTTGATGGTGTTGGCAATGTCGTGCATCTTGAGGAAGATGATTAGTTCCGCTGCGGTGAACCACGAACCATCGTTGATTTCTGGATGCGGTAGGGACGGTCCATCCTGACGCCAGTTTAGCCCAGGGGCTGTGGGGAGATCCTGCGGCTTTGGAGCAGTGGTCGTCTCTTGGCCTGAGCTTGCAGGGACTCTGGCAGTTTGAACTTGAGCGGTAGTGGCCGCCGCAGCAGCCAATCGTTGATTGAGTGGCAGCGGTGGCAGCACTGTAATCGGTCGTCGAGGTATCTGTGGGAGGTTCTGGTCATTAATTTCCGGCACCTTCTTGCGGCCAGACTGGTTTCTCATCGATGCTTTCGTCCGGATCTCGATGTACTCGGTGCGCTTCGGGCAGGCCTTGCTTGTAGCTTTGTGATCAGCACCGCAGTTGGCGCAAATTGCATCGGCTTCATCGAGTCTGTCGCAGGCGTCGGTTTTGTGTTGTTTGCACACTTGATGCAGCGGCTGACCATATGGCAATTCTTCGTTCCATGCCCGAACACCAGGCAGTTCGAGCATTGGGTGACTCCACGGCTGACCGGCTTGTACCACTCCCACTTCACCACAATGTTGAACAGGACGCGGATGCCCTGGAGGTCCATCAAAGTTGTTGAGTTCTTCTCAAGGTGGACCAGGTATAGCTGATCGCGGTACTTGACGGCCTTGTTGTGGCGGGCCATCTTGTGAATTTGGACCGGCTTCAGTCCATTAGCCACCAGCTCTTCCAAGAGGACGCCTGTGTCCATGTCGTATAGTCCGCGCAGGACCACCTTGAACGGCTTAACAGCCTCGATGTCGGGAGAGAAGTACTCCACCTGTGATTGGTCCAGTATGGTCTTTACCGCCTTGTAATATTTCAATGCCGGAACCATCAGTTTGTATCCTTCCGTGCACAGCTGGATGGTGCACCGGACGCCCTGCGTGATGAAGAAGTTTATTTTTTTCCCGCCATCCGGGAGGATCACGTAGAAGGGCGGCATTCTGTCCTTCTTCGGCGGTCCTGTTGTTTCCGTTACCTGTTCTGCACCGTCCTTCAGAACGGAGAATCGATTGTTGTCGAGCAGCTTCTTCGCGGCTGTCGCACTGTCACTGTTGTCTTCAGGCCTAGACCGTTTCCCGGGATTGCTGGCACTCGCGCCACCGCGCGATTTTTTACCCATGGCTGGGTTAGCGAGAGCGTCACTATTCAACGCGAGAAAAAACGGAACAACGCAATCGAGCGAACGAAGAGAGTGAGAGTAAAGACGTCGACTGTACTGCTCAACAGTCTGGCAGCGAATTACAATGAGCAAAAGCACGACAGCAGCGCTGTTTTATATCTTTTCAGGTTCAAGCAGAACGATGTACAACCAAATGGCACTCGATTATGACGACTGGGTTAGGGAAAATAGTTTATTTCATGAAAACAGAGATAAAATTATCATTTGTACATTTTTCAGTTTTTGTGGAAAATTGATAAAAAAAAAAAATATTTATTTCAGCAGATTTGTAATGTAATATCCTATCGATTGGCGTATTTGGATTTTAATTTCATCTATAAATAACAAATTTACAAGTGTTCAAAACCTAACACTATTTCACCAAACATATTTTTTGTTATTTTTTTCCGGGTAACCATCTCCAACCTTTAGTTTGTTTATAAAAATTTCCTCTGAAAATGAAATAATTTTCCTCCATACAAAGACGAGTACTGGTACGCTCGGAAAAAGTGCCGTGATATTAAATGAAACCATGACTTCATCTTCCCGAATCTCTCCTGATGCCTTAAATTGATTTGCGAATTCCTGTGTGCTGTTAACTGAGCAAGTTAATGCAAGGCAAGGGGTTAGGCATATTTTGAAATTCCTTTACTAGCTTGCTAAGCTTATGAGTGGGGGATCCTTCAGCGGAGATAATCTCCCTCATTTCGTTTCCTGGTTTGTGAATCTTTGGTAAACCCTTGATCCTAGGTAGAATAGGGTTTGAAACTTTCAATTGCCTCGTAATGTTGCCTTGCACTCTTTCAACGATTTATCAACATGTTTAACCATAGATGGGAAGGGGTCAATCCTCAACTGCCTGTTTGGCCATATGTGACATGGCAGTTGGATACCTGCTTATTTATACATAGTACCTATTGATTAGCTATAAGATAGTTTGAACATACTGAGAGGTAAACACATATTCATCGGTAAGAGACTGTGTGTGAGAAAATTTGCGAAAAATCTAAGGGCACCGGTGGGATTCGAACCCACAATTCCCATTCCCATTGACCTATTGATTAGTATTATATAAGTCGTAGATAATAGGTGGATGTCCTTATGTCAAAATCTAACGAATCTGACTGCCTCTTGACAACGAACGTCGACTTGCAAAACCGGTACTCAGTTTGTACAAACCCAGTTAACCAGCAACTATTGGTATCGACTATAGATACTATAGATTCCATAGATAAGCGGAGGAAAAGTATAATGTAGCCAAACGAACTGTCAGTTAGTGCAGCCAAACGAGCATGACGTCATCATGGTGTTGTTTGAGGGAGAAGTATTGTAATATTATGGGCACAAAACGCTTTCCACACTCCACATTTTGATTTATTTCGCAGACAACGGAAGAAGGAAAGATGAAGTAAACCATTCCTCGACACATTGTTGCAAAGAATTGCTTTGCATTTCATTTGAACTTTTACGCACGAAACAAAACAATACTGTACAACGAAGAGCTCTATGATATGGCATGAACTTTTTTCACGGATGCCAGTAAGTTCATTTATTTTTCATGGTTGCCAAAACAAGTTTTTGTGCTGCCGCTTATCTATGGAATCTATAGTATCTATAGTATCGACCACTATCCATCCTCTTAGTTTGTTAAAAAAAATCCTCATGAACTACACTATTCAGATCCCAAAACTCACACAACATGTAACCGTTTGGTTCCTTCTGTTCAAGTCAGTCCTCTCTTCGGTGTGCGTATCAGGACCTCTGACTCTTCCATTAGGATCAGTCTTGACACAATGGGGCTTATTACGGATGTCACTTCACGGTGAAAACTTGTCACTTGTCGTCACGTTGAAGTGATTCCCATTTGATTTGTACGGCAATCACGGCTCTTATTCTCAATATCACTTCCTTATCACCGTGTAGTGACACCCGTGATAAAGCCCAATATATTCAGACCTAACTCCCACTGAACTGTTTTGCCTTCAGATTCCTTTGGATTTACCCTTAGAGACTTCCGGCCGTACCTTTGAGTATTCTGCACTTGGCTCAAACATAAGATCGACTTCTTGCAATATCGTTCATATGGCATTCCGAAAATTACGTCTACTACAAGTCAAGGATTTCGGAAACTGACAAGCTACACCGCAAAATGTACTCACGAAATTTGTTTATACAACGTAAAGGAAAAATATTTCAAACATCTACCAGATTAACACTCGTAGACCAAAAACTACTAAATAATCATCTACTTTCTTCGCTTACCTCCCGCCTTGCCACCGCTCTTCTTCCCGAACGACGACGACGATTTCTTCTTGTCCACCCTTCCGGCTTTGAATTTTTTACTGCCGCCGCCGCCGCCGCCACCAAAACCACCGGATGACGAACCGTGCTTCTTTCCACCGCTCTGCATCCGGTTCTTACCGCTGAACCTAGCCTGCTCCCATTCCATCTGCTTGACTGGCGCATTGTCCTTGTTGAAGATTTCCCCCAGGGTGCCGTGCGACTTGCTGTCCTTCGAACCGACATTCTTCTCCAGCATTTCCGAGAAGTCATCCGCCGCGGCAAATAGCGAATTGAAATCGTTTGATTTCAGTTTCTTCTGGAAATCTCGATCGCTCAGACCACCCTCCTTTCGCTTCTTTTTGGACTTTGGTGCATCTTCGTCGGAGTCTTCATCCTCGTCTTCTTCTTCGCCGTCGTCGTCATCATCGTCCAGTTCGTCCTCATCGCTTTCAGCTTCATCCAAAGAAATGCTTCCGCCGTCACTGAGCTCATCATCTGAACGAGCTCCGCCTTCGTCGTCATCGGCTTCCTCATCATCATCGTCATCATCGTCCTCACCGTCCACATTATCCCAACCGCCAAAGTCTTCATCATCCTCATCCTCTTCGGCAGCAGCACCCCGTTTGCTCTTCTTTTTCTCCGCCTTTTTGGCCAAATCCTGTTCAAACTCGTTCATAAAGTCCACCTCCTGATCCACGTCTGCTCCACCGTCTTCGCCTCCAGGTACGCCCAGCCGATCCAGATACGAATCAAACTCATCGTCATCCAGCGATTCCGTATCCGACAGGTCGGCATCTTCGTCCACGATTCCCTTTTCCGCCTTCCTGGCCTTGGCTTCCTCCTTGGCCTCATGCAGCTTCTCCCGCTTCTGCTCCAGGAACCTGTTTGGGAATGCAACCGTTAAGTTTCTGGTATAGATCAATCGCATTAGAAGCAACGTCGGATACTCACTGAAAGATGAACCGCTCGTCTTCGGTACATTGGTCCTTGGTGAGCGAATGTACCGGCAGTCCTCGCGATCCACTCGGCACGTAGTCGCCCTTCCGCTGGGTCACGCCCAGGATCCTCTTCTTCGGCACCTGCTCACCGTCGGCGTTCTCTTCGGTTTTGGGCTTCTTCGGATTCTTGAACGCAAACCGGTCCAGGAAGTGCCCGAGCGAAAAATCTCTCAGCGGATCACCGAAGTAGGTCAGGGGAGAGTCTGAAAAATGGGAACCGGGGCGTTAGCAGAGCGTTCGAAATCTGGCAATTGGTTTCAAAATTCTAGGATGGCACAATTTCTGCTACAAGGTGAAACAAAAAATTTCTTGAAATCTGGGAAGTTTTTACGGAATTATCTCCTCGGAACTCCAAGCAGAATGAAGGAAATTCCGACAGAATTTCTTAAAGAACTGTTGGATATGATACATAGTTCGGCAAATTCCTCGCAGAATTCTGAGATTTCCTCACTGAATTGAAATTATAGGGAATTTGTCGCAGAATCCTGAAATTGTCTCATATAATTCTAGGAGCTCCTCGTAGGAATCTGGGAGTTCTTACAGAATTATGTAAATGTTTCGTGGAATGATGAAAATTTTACTGAAAATTTCTTACACAATTCTGGGAACCTCAAACTAGATTCTAGAAATTTCTCATGGAATTCTAGGAGTTCCTGTGAAATTCTGGAAAATCCTTGCAGAATGTGGGGGATTTCTCCTAGAAATATTGGACTTCCATGCATGATTCTGTTGTTTTATTATAGAATTGTGGAAGTTCGACACGGAGTTTTGCAAATTTCTCGCAAAATTCTGGGAATTACTCTTAGAATTATTGGAATTTCACGCACGACTCTGTGAATCTTAAACTGAATTCTAGATATTTAAAGGAATTCATAGAATATTGGGAATTACACGCAGAATACTGGAAATTCCTCGTAGAATCTGGAAATTCCTCAGAGAATTTCTGGGCATTTCTACAAAATTTTATGAATATCTCATGGAATTATTATTATTATCTTTTCTTATAGAGATTTTCTAATCAAATTGTGGAAAATTGACACGGAATTCTGAAAAATCTTCGGTAAATTCTAAGAATATCTCGCGTAGTGCTGAGCATTCCTCACACAATTCTGGGAAACTCAAACTAAATTATAGAAATTTCTTATGGAATTCTAGGAGTTCCTGCTAAGTTTTGGAAAATCCTCGTAGATGTCGGATAGTTCTTCTTAGGATCTAACTCTAGAAATCTAAGAATGTCTACAGAATTGCTTGAATTTCTTAAATAATAGCGAAAATTTGACACGCAGTTCTGTAAATTCCTCTCAGAATTATTGGCATTTCTCACAAAATTCTGGGAATCACACACTAAATTCTAGATATTCCTCGAAGAATATTGGAGATTTCTCACCAAACTCCGAGTATTCCTCGCAGAATTCTTAGAATTCCTACATCTTTGAACTTCTAATCGAATAGAATTATTGTAGAAATTTACCATTCAGAGAATACATTACAAACTTCTGAGAATTCCTCACGAACTGGGAATCTCAAACTAATAATAGAAATTTCTCACGCAATTTTGGGAATAGTTCACTAAATTCAAGGAATTTCTCATGGAATATTGGGAATCCCTATCAGCATTTTAAGAATGCCTCGTGACGTTCTGGAAATACCTCACGCAGTTCTGGGAATCTCCAACCGAAGCCTAGAAATTTCCCAAGGATTTTTTGCTGGTGAGGTTCCTTCTAGAAATTCTTAATTTGCTAATCCTCATAGAATTCGGTAAATTCCGTGAAGAATTCTCCAAATTCTGCACGGAATTTAAGAAATTCCTCGCGGAGTCCTGATAATTTCACATTTTCCGCCGATTAAATGTAAAATTACACAACTTTTTCGACATGCCGACATCCCATTTAACTCTATATACTTACTATCGATTATGCTCTGTGCGAAGGTCCTGACCGTTGGGTGAAAATATTCCAGATACCTTGCCAGCTCGTACTTGACCGTGTACTTTGCCCCGGAAAACTCCGACGCTCTGTGGTACGGATCATAGTGCGTGACATTTCGGGTGCTTTCCTTCTTGATCGAGGGCTTTTTGTCCTCCTCTTCATTCTCAACCTCGCTCTCCCCACCATCGGGGACCTCGCTTTGACCATTTTCCGAAGCCACCTGTCCATCCATATGCAGCTGCTTACGCTTCCGAAGAACCTTGCTGATCACGATGAGCGTTCCGCACACCTTGGCCGGGGGAAAGTGGAATGCAACCTGCAGTAGTCGCTTGATGAAAGACTGCGCACGGTCCGGTATCGGATCGTTCTGAATTGCCCGATGGATGATGTAGAAAAAGATGTTCGATATGCGCGGTCCCACGGTGGCCAGCTGTGGATCAAGCAATTTCCTATACAGTGCATTATAGAAGCGATTCTGCTCCACTCCTTTGGCCTCGGTAATTTCTAGCAGCAACGACAGACCTTGACAGGCGATCGAAATGTCTGCCAGATGAATCATCCTGTAGACTGTGTTCATGACTTCCGGTTTGACAAAATTGGTTATATCCACATCCTTCTTGATGTTACCAATCGCTTTCCGCAGACACGCCAAAATAGCCTGCATGGTCCGGCAATTTACCTCCCCTTTTTCGGTCAAAATCTTGAAGAAGCAAAAGCAAATGTTTATCATCTTCTCGCACGAGTTTAAATCCCCATGGTTACTGATCGCAGCCAGGAACGTTAGCGCATAATGCTGGGCACTTGGCGAAATGTTATTCCTGAACAGCAACTTCTCCGTCTCCGTCACAATCACCGGACACATGGCCGAATGCTTCTTGACCACCTCCGTCAAATGAAACAACGCCTTTACAGAGACCTTCTTGGACGGATCTCCCAGCTTATTGACCAACATTGTCAGCAGATATGCTTCCTTCTCCGGAATCGTCGTAAACAGCTTGGAACCATGCTGGATCACCTTCATCTTGCTATTGTCCTGACCCGTCTGGATGACCGTCGAAAGGTTATTCAAAAACGTGAAATAAACATCCCTCAGGGCATCCTCAAAGTGCCAATAGGCGAAGATTCTATCCCGCAGACCCTTCTCCAGCTCCTGCTTCTTCACATTCTTCCAATCCGCTCCTCTCAACGGAATCGAAATCAGCTTCCTGAATGAAGGCATAACCGAATTCAGCATCAACTCTGTCAGCACTTCCATCACATCTAGATGCCCTTTATTGGACAACTTGACCATCGCTACCACCGTTTCCAGCGCCTGCAGATTGCATAGAGGATTCGTTTGTACCAGCAGCGCTCCCGCATTGGCCCTATCCTTCGAGGTACCTTTCTCCAGGGCTGTCAGCAACCACTTGGCATCCGACGGATTGTTTTTCATCAGAGCACGACTTTCGGCCTCGAAAGCTACCCGACAAAGCTTCCTCAACTCGGCAATCTCTGCATCCTTCAGTTCCACCAACTCCCCGACCGTGTTGTATCCATCGAAGTGCTCGTACCATCTCCTCTCAACGGTTTCCGCTTCATCCTCCCGAACCTCCTTCGTATCCTTGTTCCACTTCTTTCCCTTCTTCTGGTTGGTATCTCCTTCGCTGGATGCGTCCGCTTTTACCTTCTGCTCCACTGGAACTTCCTTCTGTTCTCCGTCATCGCCGAAAACGATCTTCTTCTTTTGCTTCGGTTTTGACTCGGACTTTTCCCCACCAAAATCACGCTTTTTACCGTGCTTTTTCGACTCCTTAATGGCCATTTCACCACCCCGTTATCATGCACTATAAAATTTACACGAATTTCACCGAAAATGCACTATTTTGCAAACAATTTAGAGTTTTTTTTTTTGTTGTAAACTATTCACCGTGTCGTACATGTGCGCGATGAACCGAATGTGCGCCGCGAGTCGTGTTTCGTGCTTTTGTTTTGACGTTTGCCCGTTATGTTTTGATTCTTGAAAGCGAGGTTATGTTGCCTTGCAGGGGTGTGCTGCGATTTGTTACGAAGAACAAAATTTGTTAAGTTTCCGAACTTTTGTTTGTCAATGCTTAATGCTGTTTTTCTGTCTTTAACAATTCCAAGTTGATTTCATCACTACACTGGAATTGGAAAAAAAAAACTATATTGCTGGTTTAAATTAAATCCCTCACCAATAGATTTTTGCAGAAAACAATTTCATTTAATTTTACTACTATTTCTACAAAATTACTATGCATTTTGAGCAAGCATAGTAGTTTTTCCAGAATCATAGTAAATTTGTTAACATTCATAGTCAACTATACTGAATTCATAGTAGATTTAAAAGTAATAAGCGTGGTTATATTGATTATAATTGTTTTCTGCAAAATAGTATTCCTAACTATGGTCCTTGTTTCATATACTATCAAAATTACTCTGATTACAACGATTATTGTGATTACAACGATTAGGGTAGAGCGCTACTTCGTCGCAATCGCCCATTTCCGTTCTATCGATCAGAAAAGATCAATAATATCAATGATTTCACCGTGCACAAATCAATAATAGGTTTGTTCCGATGCGTTAGTACATTAGCTACAACATAAACCCTGTTAGAGCGCATTGTATGAATATTTATGCTCATTGTTCTCAAAACAAAAGAAGCGCTCCTAGTGAATCCCCTTTTTCTACGTTTATCCGTAGGACGAAGAAAATCTAATGGCGTTGCAATGCGTTAGGACGGAATTGAAACTCGTAGAACGAATTTAGAATCAAGAAGCAGTGTTAGATTTTAGACAATACCTCAACAATTTGTGACTCTTTATCAAATCCAACGGTACGTATGGAAAGGTGAATAAATTTGCAAGTCATCTTTGGCAGAAATATTCCATTTTTTGTTTAAACTCGTCCAAAAAAGAGAGGCAAAGCGCGGGTTGTGCTGAGTAGGACGGAAATTAGATCAAACCCTATTGTGATTACAAATATTAATTGTGATTACTCGTGATCTAAGCGGTCCGGAGTTCATAAATTTAAATTTTTATGTTATTTTGCCCGAGATTTTGCCTTTACATCCTCTCAACACCGCCTACAAATCGGCGCTTTTTTCCAGAGAAAAACTGAGAACTCTTTCGTAACTTTCCCATTATTTGTAGGCAATTGTTTGATTGAGCCAATATTAAAGCACAGACAAACAGACGTAACTCTTTGAAAAACTTGTTCTTGAAAACATCGTATCTCAAAACATATAACCTCAGTAGCGACATCTCTCTGGCTTCTCGCGGAAAACAAGCTTGTTCGCTAACTCGTAAACAATATTGCATAAAAGTTCTATAGAATATATAGAAACGTCAAAGTTATCCGATGCCAGCGCTGCGGCGAGTAGTTCGCGGAACTGATAATATTCAAATCAACCGTTAAATGCATGAACGAAGATACACAATGAAGAGTTACGTCTGTTTGTCTGTGATTAAAGTTTGGAATAGGCTTTAAAATGTTGCCAAGTTAGAAAATTATCAATATCAAGTCAAACGGTTGAATATGCTTTTGCTGCTTTCCCTCAGTACTTTATCATTGGTATCAATAAATTTCGCCAACCTTTAAAATACTCTTGTTTTAGTTATAGTCGCTACACAGACAAACAGACATAACACTCGCAAGTTGTTCATCGAACAAGCATTTAACAGTCAATTTAAAAGTATCGTAGTTGGTAGTACCGCCACATGTGGCGCGCATAGTCAATTCCCTTGCGTTTGAAGTTTACACACTACCGCCATCTGTTCAGCGTACTACCCACCACAGTGTACTCAACAGATGGCGGTAATGTTTTAGCGACGATGTTTTACAGTGAGAAATATTCAATGTGTTATGTATGTTTGTCTGTGGTCGCTATATTCATAGTCTGGCGGATAGAATTTCGATCTATCAAAAAGCGGAACCAATTCAATATATTTTAGACCAACAATTGAAAAGGTACTATCAACTTTTATAAACAAAACGTTGATTATTCTTTCATGGCCAATCGAACGCAAATTACCAGCATCATCGGATAAGGAAAACTTTCCCCAACCCAAAAATGGTGTTAGTTTGCGTAGACGAGCCTTGAGTCACGAGAAAAGGGTTCCCTAAGATTTGTTCAGCTATTGCGATGATGTGCTCTTTTCTGTTGTTCGTCGTGATTTGCTCGATTCGTTGGTCGTGATTTGCTCGATTGGTTCCGCTATTTGACAGTTCAAATTCAGCCAGACCAGGGGCCTGGCTGGCAGCCATGTTTTACCCTTCTTACAAAGAAGGGTATAGATATCACTTGAAAAACCGACTATCGATCCGAGGCCCGGAGGGCCGAGTGTCATATACCATTCGACTCAGCTCGACGAGATCGGAACATGTCTGTGTGTGTGTGTGTATGTGTGTATGTGTGTGTGTATGTAACGAAATAAATGCGCTCACGTTTCTCAGCAACCGCTCAACCGATTTGGACAAACTCGGCGCCAAATGATAGGTCTTGGGGTCCCATTGAACGCTATTGAACGGTTTTGGAATCGGTGAACCGGTTCCGGAGATATGCCCGGAATAAGATCCGGTGAATATGGCCCTTCACGCTGGATTTAACGGAAAACGTATCAAAACCATCATGCGACACATCAAATTACTACAGAATTCAAAAATAAGATCAATGCAAGTCGTGTTAAGTGTTCCAGACCACATTGGACACACTTGGACATGTTCCGGGTACCCCGGGGAAGTTGCTTGAATATGAATTGAATTAAAACCCATTAAATCACATTAAAATACGATGATAAGGTGATTGGTAGCCTCACCAAATAAACTACACCCGGATATATTCCGGGTACCCCCAGGCAGTGGCGTAGCGTCACTGGATGACGCGGGGGTGGGGGGCTTGGTCACTGATAATGACAATAAAATAAATAAACTTGAATAAGTAAGAAGGGTCTGATCACACCATAGGTGGTTAAATTCGGGTTTTGATGCTATCATCTGCTCTTGTCTTCCTGCTTATAACACGATTTTCTGTCCCTTTCTGACATGTATACGTCAGGCGGGCCGTATTTAAATAAGGCCCGTGATGTTGCCTACTGTCAAACGTATAGGATTGATATAGGGTTGCCAGCCCCCTGAGCCAGATATGAATATAGCGACTATAGTTTTAGTTCTTTAAAATCTAATTTAAGGATAAAATTTTGAGTGTTGAACCTACATACATGACAGCTCATGCAAGTTAAATTCAAACTCGTGCCCAAGACACCATATTTAAAATACGTTAAACACTACCGCAAGCTACTGTTGCAATTTACAGGTAGCGGTAGAGCAGACTACCTTTGAATGGGCTAACACGCAAACACTGGGAAAGTGTGCACCAACGAAATCAAAATTGGGTTAGCATTGACGTTTACATTGCTTTATTGTGCCGGCATGGTTTTCTCCTGCCTAACCTCATCTCCTATCTTTCTTCGGCCTTTGCTGCTCTCACTTTCCTACATCTTTTCTCTTCTTCTTTCCGCTTACTTTTTCTTAAGAGTACTCACTCAATGCTGCTGGGTGCACCCTTACCGCCGCTGGATTATCGCACTGATGTTCCGCGGCTCGTCCGTCTGACTTGCTCCACACACACACAGCACAATGACCACCCGTTGTTCCGTGGTTTAGAGTCCGGTCCGGACAACTCTCATCCGTCGTGTCTACGATGACCTCGCCAGAATCACGCACAGCCCAGACACACTGGCCCTCGTGCAGCTGAGTAGTCCGACCTGCGGAATAGCAATCAGAACAAAAGGCCCTGGGGCGCATATCCCCTTAGTTTTCATGTGGCGACTGTTGGAGTAAAGCGACTTACTTCTGTTTGAAGGCCTTTTTAGCCACAGGCAGTGGTTCTTCACCGATAGCGTCTGTCCGGGAGATCATGTTTTGGCGTCGTTGCCTTGGCCTGAGCGCACTTTAGAGAGGAGAGTGTGAATTTTCCTACCTTTACTTTCTTTGATTAACTTACCGGTTAATCTGTCGTCGGCAAGCTTCAACGATGTTTGATCGTTGATCCACCATCCGGTGCGTTCTTCTTCGATCGCACAGAGCTGCTCGCGCCCGAGAACACAGTTTTTTACACTGCCAACTTACTATCACGGCAATCGCGATTATCGACCACGCCGTTTTGCGTGCTACTTGTGCGAATGCACTTTTCTTCTGGCTCCCTTTATGCTGTCACTGATGTTTACTGTGCTGGTACTTGTGTGTGTGCGTGCGGAAGCGTTGTCAGCAACGTCAATGCGGAATGATGGGCAAGATAATTTTCGCTTTTCTTTGCTTTTCAAGCGATGCGGCCCATGTGGCATAATTTGCTTATGCACGCTCACGGGAGATTAGGCATCAATAATGTCATACCCCAAATGCTTATGAGCGAATTGATACTACCCAAAACTAAACGTAACACTACTCATCTGATCGCGTCATATCATGAGTAGACACGAACCCACGTAGAATTTATATGGCCTTGGTTTGCGTCTCACTTCGTTTGACAGATCTGATCGCCTGTTTGAAAGTTCGAATCGCTCGTTTGACAAATCGAATTGTGGACAAACGAAATGCTCCTGTGGCATGTCGGTTCGTCGGTGCTAATGTTTTATTGTGCTTGATCGAATCTGTTTAGGGACGTAGCCTTGTTTTTTGACAACCATTTTGAGTGACTCTGCACCACACCGAATTACTCATGATTTGTCCCGTGATTACTAGTTGATTACTGGTGAGAGGCTGTGGTCGTAATAACTTTCCTTACCTTACCAATACCTTGATGTCCTTTGCTGTCCGAAGAAGTCGTCTCCACTCTAGTCGATACATGACCACACGTCGCCAGCCTCGTAGTCTGCGAAGGATCAGCAGGTCGCCCTCTACTAGGTCGATCCACCTTGCCCCTTGCGCCTCTTCTGCTTGTTCCTGTTGGGTCACTTTTGAGAACCATTTTCACTAGATCCATCTGCACTCCACTGTTGATGGTACGCAGCACCTTCCGTTCGAAAACACCAAGGGCGCGTTGGTCCTCCACGAGCAAAGTCCAGGTCTCGTGGCCGTACAGGACCACCGGTCTAATCAGCGTTTTGTAGATAGTCAACTTCGTGCGGCGGCGAATTTTATGCGACCGAAGCGTCCTCCGGAGTCCAAAGTAGGCATGATGCATCGTGTCATCACAGTTGTGCTTCGAGTACAGACACGAATCGTTTTCCGATGGTTAGAAACCGAGTTTACGTAGTAATTTATCAAGGTTCTTAGTCCAGATGTAGGTGGCTTGTTTTTGAAGATGACACACCAGATTCGTATCTCTAAAATCAAAGCCAGCTTCATGTGGCCGTAGAAGACAGTTTCTTGAAGTTCTCCGTTTAGGTACGCCCTAGGGGCAAGACGGCTGAACTCACAGTTAATATTTTCACAGTGAGCAAATTTGAGTAACTCATATTTACTCAAAGTGATCAAAGTAGTCTCACATTCGTCAAGAAATTAAAAATTAAATCAGCATAAACATACATTATCTGTCAGAGTGTCAGGGTAATCCTATCCGTATTTTATTTTTTGTATTCTTGCATCAAATACTCATTAATCCGTGTGCTCTTCTTTTCAGTATGAATTTCTCTTATATGCGTGGTCTCTACTATCGTGGGCAATAAAGTTGACAAATCAGAAAAAGATATTTCCGATATGATCCCGAGAAATGAACCCGTTAGTTGGCGTGCTTTATTACGAATTGCCAAGGGTGTGTTCTTTCGATGGTTAATTTAGCATTCTATTAGCAGTTTTGGCATTGACTCTTATAATGATCATGAATTGGAAAGTGTTGATTAGACCTATTTTTAGTTTTAAGCCTGTTCAAGATTTGACCAATCAAGCAAAATCGGTGAAGATTAAGAATCTTAACCGCTTCAAATGTATGATTTAATTTCAGCATCTTATATAAATAAGTTAACACGAGTTGCGAATTCTAGTTTGAATTGTTCTGATAGAGCAGTAAATTTTTAATTTTTTTATTATCCAATGATCTTTCCAATAATCTCGGTTTAAACTTTGTGAAAACTGTAACTCCTCAATTATTTCTTTCTCTTCTCTTTCAAAGTCACAAGTGAAACGCGATGCAAAGGAAGAGAAAAACTACCATAAAAAACGTCAGTTTTCATTCGTGAGCAATACAGTCCTGGAATCATAAAGCCGTAGTCTTTGAAACCTCTGCCAAAATGTGCGGCATCAATACGTTAAATTATTTCAACTCCATATTCACTTGAAAATCCCATTATTATCATCGTAAATCAATGATAAGCATACACAGATTTTGCAGGCTGCAACACGGATTTTGTGGATGGCAATCCGGTATGTAATGTTGTTAAATGATGAACGTAGATTTTCCTCGTCAAACGTCTTTGTTTGACAATCGTGGAATGCAGTCAAAACTAACAGGTTGCTATGTCACAGTGCATTGAATATTGAGCAACTCGAGTTACTCAGAGTTACTCAAAATTTACTCCAATATTACTCATTATCAAAAGCTGTCTCACCCCCAGGGTACGCCCTCTTAACGTTAAGGCCATAGAATGTTACTTGCTTAACGACGGGTCAAATACTTCATCGTAATCTGTTCCGATTTTTTGGGTGAAACTGCTACAGTCCATGAAATCATATTCTTTAGTGGTTGACTGCGTTTCTTCTTCCTCATCTTTGTCGGTTTAAAAATCGGCTACAAACTTCTCAGATATCATCGGTTTTAATAGTGATTCATACTCTACTAACTCGGCTGACTTCGAAAGAATCGGTGAAGGTTTCCCTTCATTACGAAACGTACATATTTGCTGTGGTACACTTTGTTGGTCGTAGCCTATTGGATAACTGGTGAGAGGCTGTAGTCGTTATAAAAAAACGTCTAGAGCAAACGTAGAACTCAAATTTATTTAACATGAGTTTACATCAGGTAAACTGTATCTAAGCCTCGATCTAAGCAGTAGTTTTTCGCTCCACTCCTTCTTCAATTATACCATTGATTATTCATGATTACTTGTGATTATTACGATTACCTTGATTACTTTGCGAAATCAAAAGTAATCTTAGATTACTCGTCAATTTAAAACTTGTTGCGAACCCCAAGCATTCGATGCTAATGCAAAAAAAAATGTGGTTGCCGTGAACTCTGAAGAAAAACATAATTGCAAACAGTGCTGCTTTTCAACCCGAAAGATTTCCATGACCAGACCGGGAATTGTGTCCGCCTTCGACTTGGTAATACCGTGTCTTTACCGACTAGGCTATACGAGGCCCCATTCGTATTAACTATTAACGAATAGATATCGCAGCAGACTATCAAGCTCAGTATTGAACAGGCGTTCCAAAACAAGACATTGAAGAAAATTCTAAGGAGGTTCGGTATGCTTCGATACTCTCCACACGAATCATCACTATACCGACAGACATAAAACATTTAGTACATATTCATTAGATAAACTTTGAACAAAAGACATTTAAATTCTTACAATCAAGAGCCTTACCGACTAGCTTTTACTGGAAGTCCTCGCCTTCCGACTGCTGCCAGCTTTGCTAGTTTTTTGCTCGCTTCCCGATTTCTTCCCGCTTCCGCCTTCACCCTCATCGTCCCCCTCTTCATCGGAGCTCTTCAGCAGTTCCGCCAGATTGACTCCGACCAGTTTGTCGGCTTTTGCTTGCGCCTGTGTCAAGAACAGTTCCTTCAGAAACTTAAGTTCTTTTGTCTGATTCTTAATTTTATCCTCCAGAATTTGGTTTTTGATTCGTAGCTCATTGACCTTCACCTGAGTTTCCTCCGTTCGTTGCTTGGATTTTACACGACTCCGTTTGACCGCCTGGAACATTGTATTGTGAAATCTTTTGTAAACAGGATGACGAAATCAGGCTGAAATGCCTGGCTCATACGAACCTGATTATTTCGGTCGCGTTTCTTACGGTAGTCGTCGTCATCTTCATCGGTCGTGGGTGCTTTCCGCTTTGGAGGCATTTTATGCTGATCACTTGCTGTGTTTGAGCACTTCCGAATTAGTTTTTGGGCAAAATATTCAATAAGTTTTCAGACTAAATTCAACACAATCAGATTTTTTTTTTGTTTTGGTTTAACTGTCAATTTCGTGATACGAGTTCCACTGCTCCATACACATATTAGGGTGGTTCAAAATATCGATTTTGCGATTGGGATTTAAAATAAAAATAATCTCAAAGTTTTAATTCATATGGATGCGGACTCATACTGCACTCGCTGTCAATTTTCAGATTTGTGCTGTAAGCAATTCATAAGTGGTTCTTATGGAATCCTTACGTTCATTTGCCCGAGCATTTGCCTCAGTAAATCATTGCATCGAAGGGCTAGAACGACGAGAACAAAAGTTCACCTTTGCCATATTAATTCCCATATAAACATTAAAGGGCCAGTGCAGTATGAATATGCATCCAAATAAGCTCAAATTTTGGGAGATTTCCCTAATAAATTTGTTATGGTTATTTTGCCTAACGACGTGTTTGGGGTATCATCCAAACCATTTGTGAAAAAGTTCGACTGTTTGGGTTATTGTTCGTTTATGATATTTGTTTATTAGGGTTATTATCAGGACCTGATTTGAAAATGATTGAGATTGGTGGAGCAAAATCGGTATTTTGAACCACCCTATTACATAAGCACAGACCGATGCACGAAGCAAAAGAAACTAAACAGAATCGGAAAAGTAACCCAGCGAGAATGAGATGTACGAATGAACCATATTGTTTAGCAAATTTTGTTTTTATATCATCGCATAAAACCAGGCCACACGGATAGAAATCTCCGAGGAAATCTCCTTATACCTTTTGGCAAATTTCTATTGCTGATTATTCATAAAATGTATAAGTCAACTAATAAGCAGACGCCTTGCAAAAAGTTAATGAAGATCATGCGTCAAATGGAATGTATAAGCGGTCACACATACCTTTTATGCATTCTTATAGGACCTATGTGGTTTGTCTTATGGATTGTATAAGGCTGATGTTTTGGCAAAAATGTATAAGTGAAACACATGAAAAAAATAACGTAACGTACTCCGGATCAGCGAGTCTGGACCGTTTTCGTGGGACGGTTTTTGACCAGAAAAGCTTCAATTAGCTTTTCAAAAGATTTTTTAAGGCGTCTTGGGACGCACGATCTCCTTTCCACCGAGGCTTCCGTTAGCGTGTCCGTGTCGGAACGGATGACTTCTTTGATCGACTGCAATTCTACCATCGATTTTCGGCACTGCTTTTTGTTAACTTCACACGGTTGACGATCCGGAGGAGGATGCTTCGTCTTCATTGTCCGTAGAAGTCAATTGACGATTTGATCTTTTCCGAGCTGAGCTTCTCGAGCCTTACGACCGGTTTGGCTCGAAGCAATTTTTCGATGGAAGTTCCTCGTGGCAGTGGAATCTCGAGTGGAATCTTCTTGACCAGTTCCTCCAGACTGATTTATTCGCCATTCGAAGAAACGAGCAAGGCAGAACTAGACGAAGACGTGGACAGCCGTCGCTTCGACGTTGGTTTCTTTCGTTTAGAAACCAGATCGGAATCGCTGTCGTCACTGTCTATTGTGGTTCGTCTCTTCTGAGATTTGCGTTTGGTCGTCTATGCAACTGACTCTTCAGAATCTGAATCATCCGATTCAATATGACGTCTGCCACGAGATCGGCCCCTAGAACTCCCCTCTCTGCTATCGTTACCGACTTCCGCCCGTCTTGCTGCTTCCGCTCTTATCACCAACAATCGGACGACAAAAGGTGCAAACATAGTTCTTCGAGGGAACCTCCATGCACTGATCGTGGCAACAAGTCGAACCGCACGTTGCACACAGGATCAGATCCCAGCGCTTGCAATCGTAATCTCGCCCATACCACCATCGACACTCTTCAGCACAAACGAAGTGACAGACGGAGCGGCTCGAAAACTTTGGTGACTAACCTGCTATTGCAATTTTTCAGTGTAACACATGGCAACACCACTACCACTGGATTGTAGCACATGGCAACACTACTACTGGATTGAACTAGCATTTTCACCAAATGTACTAGAACGTTTTGGTTCTATCTCTTTCACTCTACTCAAAACTGGAATGCATAAAAAAATTACAAAATGATATTACTCTTTGCACACTGTCAAAGAATCATTGTACACAAAATCAACTTTGTTCAAATCAAAACAAAAAAACTAACCCATCTGGTGGATGATGGCACAAGCTTCCAAGAAAATTCTACCACAAACGAAGTGACAGACGGAGCGGCTCGAAAACTTTGGTGACTAACCTGCTATTGCAATTTTTTAGTGTACCACAAGGCAACACCACTTCTACTGGATTGTACCACATGGCAACACTACTACTAGATTGAACTAGCATTTTTACCAAATGTACTAGAACGTTTTGGTTCTATCTCTTTCACTCTACTCAAAACTGAAATGCATAAAAAAATGACAAAATGATACGCACTCTTTGCACACTGTCAAAGAATCATTGCACACAAAATCAACTTTGTTCAAATCAAAACAAAAAACTAACCCATCTGGTGGATGATGGCACAAGCTTCCAATAAAATTCTATTACAGTGAACCACATTATTTTAATGGATTTCTTCGCCAGTAAGTCGTCTGTCACTTCGTTTGTGCTCTTCAGCGTCACACTCCGAAGGACGTTCCAACTGATCGTTGAATGCATTCGGTTCAGGCTCCCACGAGGCGTCCATGGGACAAATAAAATAAAATATTCATTTGACTTCACTTACTTTTCCGGAATATTCTCCTCCTTCAGATCGCCCTCGTCGAGAGCTTCCGGTTCCACTACGGAGGAGCGAATGCATACCGAGTATGGCCGCAAAAAAAATATAATAAAATACCGAAATTAAAATGATTTTTACGGTTGAATTTTGGGCACATTAAAAATTTATTGTTAAATTATTGGACGGGACAAAAAATAAATTTCGTTTTTAACGATACAATTATCAATGAAAATTAATTTGATGAGATCAAATTTGTTCGAGAAAAATCAATTTTTTCAATGTTAAGATGCTTAACAACCCCCCTTTTTTACTGTACATTTCTCATATACCATGATTTTCGTTGTGATTTTATGGTAGGGGTAAGAGGGGCATAGTGAGCATCCCATGCACCAACATGGTCTTCCGGCCGTTCGGAACAAATTGGTTGGTGGTAGGATCAATATCATAATGATTTTGAACCTACTACCAGTTGATTTGTTTCATGCAGCTGGAGATGCAGAGCCAAAGTGCGGAATGCTCACTATGCCCCTCCTGCCCCTAATTAACAAAAATCTCCATTCAAAATCATTGGTTTTTTATGGGCAGGTCCTGTTTGGCGTCCAACAACGATGTCTTCTCGGTCGCGAATGAGCGTGACTTTGGTTAGAAGCACCGACTGATGAAATCTTTAACAACAATTGCCGCCAACAAGCGCGAGTCATTGACAGCTCAACATCGTTTACTTGTAAGCAAATGTTAACTCGATGTGTTTACCCCTAATCATTTCGGCCTATGGTCTTCCATTATACAAAAGAAGTGCAGATAACAATGAACACAACATAGTGACATGCTGTTTGACAACAGGCTTTCCCTTTCAATTTTCGTTAGAGGAAAAGAGATAACAGGCGGTGCCCCAATAGCATCAACTACTTTAAGCTAGTACATATGAGTAGATAGTGTTGCCGTGAGGTACACTCGAAAGTTTCAAATGAAAGTGCGTCAAATCAAATTTCGAGCCGCTCCGTCTGTCACTTCGTTTGTGGTTCTCCAGATGCACAAAAGTGTGCGTGAGACCGCACACTACCTTTTTAAGTAGTTTTGATATCGCGATACCTTTTTGGTTCTTCTTCTTCTTCATTTTTTTATATGGATGTTGGATTTTAGTGTTCGTTAGATTGCGTTTGGAGATATCTATTGGGACGAACTGGAAGGACACTGAAGTCAACAACAAATGTGTTTTTACAAACTACACTCATTTTTTTTCCTTTGTTTGTTTTCCGTCGATCTTGTTTTCCGTGCTGAGCACCAATGCTACCGACGCCAGGAAGGCAGCTCCCACACCTGGACCTTACCTATCGACCCATCAACTCATGAACCGGGGACCAACGGCTTTACTTCCCATCCGAAGGAAGGCGTGATCGATATGTTATGCCTCAGAACATCCCGGCGGCGCAGACTGGGATTGAACCCAGGCCAGCTGGGGTGAGAGGTAATCACGCTTACCAATACACCACCGGCGCCGTTGACACTCATTTTCGCTACAATATTCCACCAAGTTAAGCAGAGCAGAAAGAGCACACGTCCGATGAATACGAGTAATGGCTGCCCTAATAAAAATACCATGAGCGAACGATAACCCAAATAACAGAACTATTCCACAAATGGTTTGGATGATACCCCAAACACGTCGTTAAGCAAATTAACCATAAATTTTTTTATTAGGGTGTCGAATGTGGATGTAATATTTATTAAACAACTTTTTTATTCTGTGTATATTATGAACAAAACATGGTCCATTCGTACCTTTTAGCATCGCTGGGGTTACCCTGCATCGTGTTGAAAGATCTGTTTTGTTTTGATGGTTTTGCTTCGTTTGTGCATGAAGTTGTGAACTCACCGTATTCTCGAATATGGCCAATGAGATCAACCCAAATTTGAGTTAAGTTTACTCATAAATTGCAAAAGTGCAAGAGATCAGCACAGAGTAAAGTTGAGAGACCTTCTGTGTTTTCCTGAGTTTTTTTGGTTTTTCTAGGAAAAATTTCCCGAATAAAAGAAAAGTCAAGATTGGATTCACTCAGTCTATTGGTACTACTCATAGGCGGGGTAAAATTTTCGTCATTTTTATTCATATTCCGGCAATTTTTTAGGTTTTCCACAGGAAAACATGACGCTTATTTACTCATCGCTGAGTTCCTGCACTTTTTTGTAATTTATGAGTAAACTGAACTCAGATTTGAGTGAATCTCATTGGCTCCGTCACAAATTTAGCAACAAATAAATAAGACGTCTTGTTCTGTTGGGTTTACTCATTATGGTGTAACAATTGTAACTCCGAAAACATCATTAAAATTTCCAAAAATTACAAATTAAACACAGTAAGTGATCAGCGCAAAATGGCACCGAAGCGTAGGGCAACCACAACCAACGAGTATCGTAACAAACGGGATCAAAACAATGAGGTACGTATCAGCAATTTTTTGCCCGGCTTGCTTGATTTCGCCATCCTTGGTTATTGGTAAACAGTTTCACATTGAACTTCATAAATATTGCAGGCGGTCAAACGCAGCCGTGTAAAATCCAAACAACGAACGGAGGAAAATCAGACTAAGGTCAAGGAACTACTGATCAAAAACCAGGTTCTGGAGGATAAAATTGAGAATCAGAAAAAAGACCTGCAATTTCTTAAGGAACTGTTCGTGGCTCAGGCGAATGCAAAAGCTGACAAGCTGGTCGGAGTCAATTTGTTGGATCTGTTCATAGACTCCGACCATGAAGGTGGAGATGGAACAAGGTCGAGGAGCGAGCTGTAAATAAGTTAAGCTGGCAATTGCCGGAAGGCGGGGACTCTCAGTAGAAGCTAGTTGGTAAGGCTTTTGATTGTTAGAATTATGGATACATTGTTAAGAATTTCACAAATGCATATTTACTAAAAAAATAGTTCTATGTCTGCCGATAGTGATGATACGTGTGAGGAGTATCTAAGCATACCGAACCACCGCTGGTTTTTTTTTCTGCACCAAAATAATATCTTATCTTGAAACGCGTGCACAATGTTGAGCTTGCTAATCTGCTTCTATCTATTTATTCCAATGTCTCGCAAAACAAATAAACAATAACGTTCAAAGGTTAACCGATAGCGTGCGAATGTCTCAATGTCTCTCTATCTAGATAGAGCTGGAAGTAGGGCGTAACAGCTTTTGTAAACAATAATTTCTCTCGATGATTTCTATGAATTCAAGGCATGCTCCCGCAAACCAACACAATCATTTCGAAGGGGAAATTTTCCCCTACCCGATGTTGATGTTGATTTGCGTGGGCGAGCCTTTACTTTCTGGAAATTATCGACAGAAGTTATTGTTTACAAAAACTGTTACGCCCTTATTCCATCTCTATCTAGCTATCTTCTAAATCACTTGTATACTACAGCTGAGAATAGAGCCTAACCAGAGTGCACAACAAACTGTTAATGAAAAGTTGAGAGAACTTCTGTGTTTTGTATATGCTCTCCAGGCATAGAAGCAGCAACGTAGCTCTCAGTTCTGGCTAAGAACTTAACGCGATCGTAACCTACTAAGTGAAACGCGCGTGTGACTAATACTTAGCGCAGATTAGTGAAGAGATTGTAGTTGGCAGTGCCATTTTGTGCGGTTCAATAATTGGATCTGAATTTCCTGAAAATGAACCTTTTGGACGAACTTACCCGCGCCTTTGATCAATCACTGATCGTCAGCTGCTGGAAGTATATCTTTCCTGTGTTGGTGGTACTGTATCTGTTCATCTTTCTCTACGATAAGAATCGCTATGGTGGTAAAAAGACCAAGGAAAATAGTAGCACTGCAACTACTAATGCGGTCAAGGAGAAACTAGACGGAATTGAATATGTGGGTGGTAAGCCAAATGTTTTCAACTGGTAGATTTATAGATTTGTAATATGTTCGTATTGTGCATGGTAATTGTTACTAGATATGTTTAACTAATAATATTACCTTATTATTTTACTAGCTTTCAAACTTTTTTGATAACGAAGTTTGCGAGAGTGCGGCACATGTAATGCGCTCTGAGTGACTTAGTGAGCTACTTATTGTGTGTGATGTAGTAATAATTTATTGTGAGTTGCTGATATTAAAATCAGATACATTGCCATGCAATATTCATGTGAAACCTCACAATTCCTTTGCCAAAGAAACTCAAAAAAATTCATGTTTCGACCAATATCATTGCAGAAATCGACTCGGGCGAATTCGACCCAACACCTGTGCTGGAAGAGACAGAGCACATTCCGTTCGCTGGGGCCACCGTCACCTTGAATAAGGATCCGCTCAAGGCAGCAACTCACTTCTACGAAATCGTCAACAATCGCCGCAGTGTGCGTATGTTCAGTACACGATCGGTAGATGCTTCAGTTATTGACAAATGTATCCATGCTGCCGCAACAAGCCCCAGTGGCGCCCACACTGAACCGTGGACTTTCTGTCTTATATCGGATGCCGACGTAAAGGCTCAGGTACGCGAAATTATCGAGGCGGAAGAATTGGTCAACTACCAGCAGCGAATGTCCAAACAGTGGACAACGGATTTACGGCCACTGAAGACGAACCACGTCAAGGAATACCTCACTGAGGCACCGTACTTGATCTTGATCTTCAAACAAACCTACGGATTCAAAGCGGACGGTGGCAAGAAGCAGCATTACTACAATGAAATTTCCACCTCGATTGCCACTGGTATACTGTTGTGTGCCCTGCAGGCAGCCGGGTTGAATTCGCTCGTTACGACTCCGCTGAACTGTGGACCGGCGCTGAGAAACTTGCTCGGCCGGCCGGTGAATGAGAAACTGCTGGTGCTGCTTCCGGTCGGCTACGCTTCCGACGAATGTACGGTTCCGGATTTGCATCGTAAACCGGTGGAGGAAGTTGTGGTGAAATACTAAACGGATTCCCATGTGGCAAGGCAATTTAAAACCGAAATTTGGATTTTGATTATTTTCAATATGTGTAGAATAAAGATGGCATTTTATGTCCGAAACATGTACTAACAATTGTAAAATTGTAATTCTGCCTAGACATATCTTGGAATTCTCCTGTAATTTCGTTAGGAACTTTACTCAGCATTGCAGCATTCTTCCAAAATTCGCTTGGAATTATCCACAAAATTTCCCTACAATGCTTCCAGAGATGTATTGAAGTTCTCCTGATAATTTCCAAGGCGTTCTCTCCAACTCCACAGTGCTCAAGCGGTTCCGAATCGCGTCCTCATTAGCCTCCCAAAATATTTGTTTCATTTGGAAAGAAACACTTGGCACAAACCATTTGAAGTTTATCTGGAAACTACTATGGAAATCAAACTTTTAGTTTTCCCATTGTAATTTCTATATAAACTTGTTAGTGCCAAGTCAGTTTCTTACTAAATGAGTTTAAATTTTGACAGGCTAATCAGGACCCAATTTGGAGCACTGTGGAGCGAAAATGTCAAATCATCAAATTGCATCAGTCTAATGAACATTCTCTCAAAATCCCTTAGGGTTCTCATCAAATTTCCTTGGAATGCTCCCAGAAGTCCTTTGATATTCTCTTTAGAATTATGGATAGGAAATCAGGCAAATGAGGGAGTGATATGCGATTATGTTTAGTGAACATCTCGAAAGGAAAAGCGGAATTTCAGGTAATTAAATTTTTGACCTGAAAATCAGGAAATCCCACGGAATTATTTCTTAATCCTTTCTCATTACTAAAAAGGTTAAAAGTATGAATGATCCTACTAATCTCATGCAATTACATGCTCGGTATAGTTCAAGGATGTTTGTAAATTCATTAAATCTTAAATAGAGGTCCGAGCACGTGGTCGAAAATGCAAAATTTGAGCTCAATAGGAAATGATTGGGGTGACGCAAAATCGTCAAAGATTGAAATTTCACGTACGAGAATAAAGTACAAGTTCAAATGTCCGAATATATTTTTATATTGGTAGCACCAATGCTACCGACTCTAGGAAGGCAGCTCCCACACCTGGACCCTACCTATCGACCCATCAACTCATGAACCGAGGACCAACGGTTTCACTTTCCTTTCCATCAGAAATGATGTGCCTCAGAACATCCCTGCGCACAGTGGGACAAAATCAAAAATAGTGGGACATGGCGATTTGCGACGAAACTATTGAGTGTAGCATTTTTATGTATTCAAGAATGTTTCTTTATTTTTTAAGTACTTTAATTGAGAAGAGAACATTGGGGGAGGTAGCTCATCGATTCTTCCGGTTCGCCTTGACGGACTGTCAAGTTCATAAAAATCAAAGTTACCAATGTAAACAAATGCTCCATAAGAGACCATGATGTCGAAAGAAGGAGAGCCGGAGTAGGGAGATACTGTACATTTTGCAGTACTAGCTACAGTATCTCCCTACTCCGGCTCTCCTTCATTCGACATCATGGTCTCTTATGGAGCATTTGTTTACATTGGTAACTTTGATTTTTATGGACTTGACAGTCCGATTATCAAATTTGTCGGATTAGCGGAGGGATACTGTAATAAGTACGCTTAAAAGAGTACAGTGGTGAACATTGTGCGTCTTTCGAAGGCCTTAAATGCATTACGCTAAATATGTAATATATCATGTAATTTGACTAATTTTCAATTTCAGCAGTTTACTTTTCTTTCCCCATAAGAGAAACACGGGATAGCAAACATTTTTTGTTATTCTACGGGTCCAGGACAAGCCTTCATTGCACAACTATGCTCAAAGCAATAATCTTAAAGATAATCAAATTCAAGAGCAAAAAATAACTGAAGAAACCAAAGTATTTTTATTGCCATTTGATGATACAAGAAGATGAAACTCGGTTCAACTTGTATGGATTTATTTCATTTCACCACGAAAATTATAAATTAGCTCTTTTCATATGGCATTCTTGTCTGTTGTTTGACATCCACATATGGTGAAACAAAAAGTTGGTTTTCCATAGAGAAATACCGTAGCGGCGGTGAAGGACAATTTCTTTGTTTACATCGTGTGGCGACATCTACTATTCGCAAGTGGGTACGTGAAACTAAGGTTACCTGTCACCTTGCCGGGGACTTGGTGCAAGACGTCAATTTTCTATCTCTCAAGTGGACGAAGCTAAATGAAAATGGAGTACTAACCGAGGGGGACAACCCTATCTACGATGCAGGAAATATTGGTTGTGGCTAGCTGCGCGTACGCTGAGTAGATAGAAAGAAGATTTATCACGATTTTGAAGATTTCCTGCAAAAAGGTGATGCGCGATGCAAATAGATGCGAAAAATGAAAGAAGATTTTTCGAAGATTTATTCGCTAGTGTGAGATTTTTTGAGCATCTAGAATTGAGGTTAAGATGTGTCGCCCCCCTCGGTACTAACACTAGTAACATAGAGGTAACTCTAAGACCACTGGGTCCCGAAGAAAATCATTATTATTTTTGGCTCACTCAGTACCAGAACAACGGTCCCAAGCAGTCCCAAGCTATTTCACTCACCCCTGCATGTTCTGCATGAATCCACACACCCCTGATGTTATTTGTCAAACTTTCATAGCGAATCAAAACAAACATAGTGTAGTAATAGAATTTCAACTAGAATAGGGTACGTTAATCGTTTGCTTGGGACCAATAGGCTACTAAAATGGTGAGCCAATTTAAAATCGTTAGTTTCGTATTGATTGTTGCTAGTACCCCCTTAAAAACCTTTTTTACCATAACTTTTTAGTGAGAATTTTTCGATTTTTTCAATGTTTTACAAAGTAGTAAGTGCTCTAAAAATGCACATTTTTGCTCAATGAAGCAAATCGCTATCTCTTCATATAAAGGATTTACATACGTATTTATAATTTTTCAACACTATCTTCAAAACCAGATTAGCAGGTATTAGCAGCTAAACTCGACGTAATTTTGTTCAGCAACTTATACCCTACTGTAACATATACAATTCATAGGGGGATCCAAGGTGATGCCTAATGATTTTTTTTATTAAAGTACCTCAAAGTTTTGTTACGTTTTGCTGTTTTCATGACCATTTTTCCAAGTATGTACATTATGGTGGGTTGCAGCTTCGACAAAGTTGTTTGGTATAGTATTCTCAATCTAAGTCCGAGTTTTGGTGAAATTTGAGTAATATTTGGATTTTTGGTAAGTAAATGAATAGAATCATTCCGTTTACCATACAAAATTTAATCGCAAATCGATATTATAACCAAATTCGTTCAAATTTTGTCCAGTTTTTGGGGACCTGAATAAGCATTCAAAGAGCAGTGGGAAACCCACTCTAATGTAAACACGAAAAATGGTCATGAAAACAGCAAAACTTTGTAGAAAATTCATTATTCATCCCCTTGGATCCCCCTATGAATTGTACATGTAACAATAGACTAGAAGATGCTGAACAAAATAACGTTGAGATTAGCTGCTTATACCTACTAACTTGCAAGATACACCCCCTTACAGACATCATTAAAAAATTATAAAAAGGGACTTAAATCCTTAAAACAAAGAGGTACACACTTAGAAATTATCGCCGACTTCGGTAATTTTTACCGAAATCTGAACAACTGAACTGTCCGGTAAAATTTATGAAATTTAATTCAATTGCTTTTCAGTTACTAAAATGACATGATTTGATCGTTTAAACAAGGTTGAACATGTTTTGAAATTATTTTTTTAATTCAATGGACTTTGAAATGAAGGTCGAAGTTTTACCGAACGGTCAGCTGTTCTGATTTCGGTACAATTTACCGAACACGAAAACAAAATCTTAGTGTGTAGCGATTTGTTTTTCGCAGCAAAAATGTGCAGTTTTAGAGCACTTACAACTTTGTAGAACATTAAAAAAAAAAATCGAAAATTCAAACTAAAAAGTTATAGTATAAAACGGATTTTAAGGGGAAGCAGACCGCTCCGAAAAAAAAAATTACGTTTTGATTTTTCTAAAAATATTGAAAAAAAGTATCAAAAATCTAAAAAAATCACATTTTTTCTAAATTTTTAAAGAAAATTCACGTGCAAAAACATGTTTTATAAGTCATTATGGCATAAAGTTGGACTCAAAAAACCACAAAACATCAACTTTTCGGTTTTTCTGAGAGTCCAATTTTTTTTCATGATGGGATAGAAAAAATTTTTTTACATGTAATTTTTGACAAAAATCTAAGGAAGAAACTGATTTTCTTGGATTTTTGATAATTTTTCCCAATATTTTTAGAAAAATAAAAACGTACCGAAAATATTTTTTTTTATTTTTGGGCCGGTGAGCTTCCCCTTAAGGGGGTACTACCATAGAGGTAACTCTAAGACTAGAAGGTCCCGAAATAACGTGCTCTTCGGTCCCAAGCTAATCGATTCACCCCTCGAAACATAGGAAAATCCACTAACCCATCATTTTATCTGTCAAACTTTCATAGCGAATCAAAACAAACATTGCGTAACATTCCTTCCATTATTACATAACACATTATATGCTGGGTATGCCAATTTGTCGTTAACAGATCGTGAATTGGGTTCTTTAATTTTGAAAAATGTATTGTTTTTTATACATCATCCGATAGAGCTTCGTTTTCTGAGCACAGCGATATTTTTTTTTCGAACCCACACACTTTCATCTCGATTTTTAAATTAAGATTTAAAGCAAAATAACAAATTCACTGTTTGACACTAAACTAACAAACTGACAGCTCGCTCCCATACAAGGTGACACCGAGGGGCGCTAATAAGGTGATTTTTGCAAATGTAATCGAACTTATTTAAAATAGTTCCAGTGTACCCAAATTGATAAAACTTTGGGTTTGGGTTCCATTTTTAATGCAGATTACGAATATGTATTTACCTCAATACCCTTAAAGAACCCAATTGAAGGCGGGCTCTTCTTCCCCACTCATTGGGACAACCCCTCGTGCGATGGCTGGTACATTACCGGGTCCTAGGATTTTATTGTTGGAAGAAGATTCTCTTTGATCCCGCGGACTAAGCATAAGTGTCTCTACTTACAGGTCGCCCTCCGTTTTTAGCCCTTTATACAATGGCGGTGGGTTCGATTCCCGGTCCAGTCGAGGGAATCTTTCAGGGCCACCTCTAAATCACGTGTTTCAGAGTTGTCGCCTTACAAAAGTTTCTTTGTAACACCTACATGAGCACTCGATAACAAGATCATTATCCCATATGAGCTTCATGTCCAAAAACACAAATCTAGATAGAGCTGGAATTAGGGCCTAACAGCTTTTGTAAACAATGACTTCTCTTGATGATCTCTAGAAATTCAAGGCTCGCCCACGCAAACCAACATCCTCATCGGGGAGGGAAAGACTTCCACTATCCGATGGTTAGGTTGGTCTGCATGGACGTGCCTTGAATTCCTAGAAATCATCGATAGAAGTCATTGTTTACAAAGGATGTTACGCCCTAATTCCAGCTCTATCTAGATTTAATGTCACAATTGAAAATGCTCTGAATCTTCTTCTTGCAGACCATTGTTGATAAATTCAGGGTTTTTTTCTCTCAATGGTTTCAAGGAAAAAAGTCAACTGGATTTAATGAAAATTTCACTAGAATTATTCGCAAGGAATATTTTATTATTCGCAAATCTTACAATACAAGTTAGGTAATACTTTATGGGAATTAAACATAGCATAAAATCTACAGTACGATCAAATGAGATATAGGCACACAACATTCGATTCTTCAATCACTGCCCATGGCCATGTGATGATGGTGGAAGCTGTGCATATGATTGCTCGTTTCGATCCCAGCCGTCGCCACTGTCATATGGTGATGGTGATGATGATGCGGATGTTGATTATGCTGCTGATGATGAGAAGCGTGTATGACCGTATGCGGCTGGTGGCGATCGAGGCTCAACGAGACTCGTGATTCGCCGAAATGTTGTTCACTTGTGGAAAACGATCTGCCACCAGCCGTCGCAGATGTTGCGTTGGCCGTCATCGAAGGCGAGAAATTCTGAGATTTGATATTGTTTTCAGTGGACGTCGTTGCCGCCGTCGCCCCGTTGCTGCTAGTTCGAATGTTGGGCCACTTTTCCGTACTACTGCCACCGGTGCTCTGTGTCACGGGAACCAGCTTCCCGGGTTTAGTCGCTTCGTGAGATTGCACCGGTTGGAATATGAATGGCCAGGCCTGAAACGGAAACGAGAGGGAAGAAAAATTGATAATTTTAGCGTATTTTCGTGTGCATGCAATTTGCTTTGACGTTTATGAAAAACCGAGCAATTTCAAGTGCTTCCTGGGCAGTGAAATTCGATACTTTTCAAATATTGATGATCCGCGTTTCGGGATCTTCGAAGCGAAAACACTTCTTTTATGTAAACAAGCAAAACATTCTTCTTGGCTGGCAAGTGAGTTTCAGGGATCATTCAAATTGTTTTTTAAAGTTTTCAACATGGTAAATCTCAATTTATCCACCTTTGGTTAGATTTGACTCTTCTTACATGTTTACAAGAAGCGACCTATATGTATTCTATTTAGAAATCCAAGGTTTGCTTCAGACGCGCAGCAAATGTTCCAACAGCTGTTCCATATCATTTTCATATTTCGTTTATGACTTAGTTTACACCCACTACAGATTTTCTTATGATGGACTTTTGCTTTTTTCTCAATTAGGAAAATTTATTTTCGAGAAGACCGTAAAGTACCGTGTATGAAGGTAGATTTAACATGTTTGCCTTTAGGAAATCGTGATTATGTTTTAGTAACTAACAATAGTTGTTTAACCTACATGATCAATTTTAAATGTCAAAGACATTGTTCTATATTCAGACATCATGTTCCGAATGAAACGACACGGGAAACGAACAGCGTTCCATTCGCTACTTTACAAATGATTTGTTTATACATTGAAAAGTGTTTGTTTACGCATAGTTATTGTAGATTTATAAACAATCCATTCTTCTATTCTCATGACTAGAATCCTAACGAATGTACGACCGTCGTTGATCCGGACTGGAAACCAAGCATCCCTCTCATGAAGTCCCTCAAAGCCATAAACCTACCGCATGGAATCCTCCATTTATGACACATAATCCTACTCGGTATCGGTTAGGAGGATCCCGCCCTTACATGCCCGATAATGGGCCATAAAACAAATTATTTTTAACATCAACATCCGCAACCATCTTTCGGTTGACGGGGAGTCGGAAGAGGCAATTATAGGCAGCTTTCACTCAAAATGTCACCCAAAAAGCCATCGGCGCTTATTCGATATGCACTCGCTCTAATGATGAATCATTTGTCGGAATAACTGACTTCACTCTTGGCGCATCCATGCTTCATTTTTCTCTCTCCTCCTCCCGTTCATCTCTTCTAATGATCGGAAAACATCCACTTAGCCCGCCAAGACAACGGCGCACGCAGACAAGCCGCAAAGTAGTTCAGGAAATTTAAACGCCCGGACAGTTGATACGATCCACCTGGAGCTGTCTTCGCGCGGCTTTCGACGCAAAGATCACCACAAAAGTCAGTCCCGGCTATTATAAATAGACCGAATCTCACGGCGGTGCACCCATTAAGAATTGCGTGGTTTTCCCGGACAAAAGAAGATGATTCTAGTTTTTCCCTTTTTTTTTATTTCGGAGATATGCAATCAGGTTCAAACGTACCGTTTTGGGTGGTTGGGCCAAGTTCGTGGAAAAGTCCTCGACTGATTGGCCGTCCAGGGTGGCCGCCAGGTAGGTGATGTAGTTTTTGGCCAACCGTAGGGTGTCCAGTTTGGAGAGTTTGGTGTCCGCGGGCACCCACGGGATGTTACGTTTGAGATTGAAGAAAGCCTTGGACAGAACGCGCATTCGAGCCCGTTCCCGAGCGTTGGCTGCATTTCGTTGAACCGGAGTATCCTGTTTGTCGTCTGGAATAGGCATAAAAAATTAATCGATTAATTTTGAGCATCAGCGTTGGTAATAACGGCGCTGGCAGATGAGTGATAAGCGTGACTGCCATTGGCGTAGCTAATGAGGGTGTCAAGGGGACCAGGCCCTGTCCAGAATTATCTAGCCTCCCCCTTCGCAGGAATTTGGGGTGTATTTTTAATACATCGGTATTTTGTTCAGCAGCTGCGAGGCTAGTTTTTTTTTCCTTTGGTTTGTTTTTTCCGTCGATCTTGTTTTCCGTGCTGAACACCAATGCTACCGACGTGCCAGGTAGGCAGCTCCCACACCTGGACCCTACCTATCGACCCATCAACTCATCAACTTAGGCTAGTTTTTATTTTTATTAATTTTTATGAATGTCTACTTTTCTTAATGTAGACTTAATTAGACATCTACAGGCTGTGCAAATTGACCAAGAGTTCTAAATTTTTCATTAACCTCAGGGAACTTCGTAAAACTTAAGTAGTTCAGAAAAAATCGTAAAAATTACGAAACTTCGGGAAAACTCGCCGAAACTCAGGGAGCTTTGGAAAATTTCAGAAAACTGCGTAGAAGTGGGAACTCTATTTATGTTTTGGGATCTTCGTAGAAGTGAAACATTATTTTCAGGGAATCTCATTATTGTTCGGCGATCTTCTTATAATGTCAGGACACATTTTTGAAGCCTCATGAGTCTGGAATAGTTCAGGGAATTACGTATATGATCAAGAAATTTCATACGTGGAACTTTCGCGGAAAATCGACGAGAAACGTGAGAAAGAGAGAAAGTGCAGAAAACGTTGTAGCTGCAAAAAGCATCATATGAGTGCAGAGAATTTTGTAGAAGATCTAAAAATAGTTAGTCTAAGAAATTCAGGGATCCTTGCCTCAGTTTAGGGAACTTCGTTGCAGTTTGTCAGAGATCTTTCTTCAAACAAGCTCAATGAACTTCTTGGAAGTTTTCGGAACTTCGTTAAATTTCTAGGAACTTTGTAGATGTTCACGAATATTTTTAGATGATGAGGGTTTTTTCAGAAGTTCAAATCTGTTAAGAGATCTTCGTAGAATTAAGAGAGATGGAAAAAATATGGAATTCGGAATAAATTCAGAGAACTTCGTAGCTTAACACAATCGAGTAGTGCGCTTTGTGTTTCAATGGGGTTGGAGATTTACAGGAATGACTAAGGGCGATAGCACATAACATATGTGGAACTTCATGCTAATTAACTGACTAAGAGCAACCGTAACGGTACGCTGCTAAACTCATTTTAGCAGCCCTCACCATAGCGCAGCTACCGTATCGGGAGTTGCCATACGAGTAACTAAAATAGCAGTCGGCTTCTCGGTGAGAAGCGCGCTACCAAATTTAGCAGCGTGATAGTAGCGCGGGAGAAATGTTGCTATTCGTAGAAATGTCAAAATGCTCACTACCGGTACGGACAAAGGCGAGTAAATTGATAACCGCGACAGCAGCGACCGGTGTGGAGAAGAGTGACTAAACTAAAATGAGAGCGCTGTGCACTGTTAAAATAGTCGCGCAAATGACAACGACCGTTACGGTTGCTCGAAAAGATGACTCCTTTGTTGTGTTGCCTCAGTGGTATAACTGGTATACTGCCGATACTCGCATAATTGTCCCATATTTGCTTGATTTCCTATTCATATGGGACAGTTATGCGAGTATCGGCAGTATAGTTGGCCATCGAGGTGTCAATATACAATTTTCGTGATAACTACACTGAGCGTTCACAAGGACCAAAACGTAAACAACTGCTTCGTTCGTGAATTTCTCGTAGTTTATAATCAATCCATGTAAGTCACCCATTCTATCGGAAAGGGGGACTCTCCCTCTACACAATCATCGCGACGGTTTACTTGAGTGGTTTTTCATGCTCGAGAAATTCGTGGACAAAGTAATTGTTCGCGACAAAAATCAAACAGTGCACTCGCGACGTTGGACAGGCAATCGAAACGGTGATATTGCCACACGTAACAATACCGACGGAGGAAAACCGAAGTGGCCAGGTGCAACTGATAAACTTTCGAACTTTCGGATTGACCGACGGGAAGGAAAACGACGTGTGTCCTTTCGACTTCACTGCTTTATTTCAACTGGTTTGTGTTGTGTATTGTTTTTAATAGAATGCGATCAAAACAATCTGTAGGTAGAGTTTCCGTTTTCTGTCTCTTTTCGTGTTTGGGTTGTGTGTGTTCGTGAGTGGCTGAGTGACGTCTAATTCAAGGTAGGTGTATAGGGTAAGGTAAGTACAATTTCGATTTCAATGTGTATAATTTTAATTTCATACATTTTTTCTAATTTCAGGTTCACCGTTAACATGCTGGCCGCCGTTGAAACCGTCCGTTTCAACCATCATCAGCACATTCTTCGATGCGAAGTTGAGCTAGGCATGAGCTAGCTCCTGCGTTGTCTTCGTCGGGATCTATCGGAAGGATAGCGATCTCGGTAATCGCCCGTTTGTACTGCCCGGAACCGGTCTTGACCACGACCACCCGGACTCTTCCATCCTTCCCTGCCACGGTTTCGATGATCCGCCCCAACGGCCATTGGAGTGGTGGTGCGGTCGCCTGCTTGATCAGTACCAGTTGGCCGGTGCGGATGTCGGATTGGGACTGCTTCCACTTCGTTCGCTGCTGGAGTTGACTGACATAATCCAGCTGCCAGCAACGCCAAAGGTCTTGGACCGACCGCTTCATCTCTTGGAGGCGTGACAACCGATTCGGGTTTACGTCGATCAAGTTGGGCTCCGGGATTGCCACGAGAGGTTCACCGACGAGGAAGTGACCAGGAGTCAGAGCGGAATAATCGTCAGGCGAATCTGTAAGCGGAGAAAGAGGACGGGAATTGAGCACCGATTCAATCTGGGCAACGACGGTCTGGAGCTGGTCTACGGAGAAGGAGCGGTTGCCCATGATGCGCCGGAAGTGGTGCTTGAAGGATTTTATTCCGGCTTCCCAGATACCGCCGAAATGCGGTGAACGGGCCGGGATGAAGCGAAACTTGATTCCGCTTTCCAGGCAAAAGTTCTCCCAGTCCTCGGATTTGAATTGACGACGGAACTCCTCTCGCATCGTACGAAGTTCTCGGTCTGCCCCGACGAAGGCAGTCGCGTTGTCGCAGTGTAATTCAAGCACTCGCCCGCGACGAGCTACGAATCGCTTGACGGCGTTTATGCAGGCGACGGACGACAGATCGGCGACGACTTCGAGATGCACGGCCTTCACCACGAGGCACACGAATAGCCCGACGTACACTTTAACCGACGCGCCCCGACCACTTAACGGACGTACGAGAAACGGCCCACAGTAATCCATCCCAGAGTGTATGAACGGTCTGGCAGGTGATACGCGAACGGACGGTAGCGGAGCCATGATCTGCTGTGCTACCCGTGGTTTACATCGGAAACAGGTTACGCATCGGCGTACCACCTTGCGTACTAGTTGCCGACCCCGGACTGGCCAAAATCGCTGGCGAACAGTAGCGAGTGTGAGTGTAGGACCACCGTGAAGTGTTCGGACGTGGCTGGACCTTGCGATGAGCCAACTGAGTTGATGGTCAGCTGGAAGTAATATCGGGAAACGAGTGTCGTACGGTGCTCTCATGTTGGCTAGTCTTCCGTTGAGCCTGAGCAAGCCGAACTGGTCCATGAACAGCTTCATGTCCTTGAGTGGTGATTTCGACGGGGATATTGCTGCAGCGAATGGTGCATCTTGCAGGTGACGAAAGTTACAAACTTCAGCCGGAAAGGACGCTAGTTGAACTTCTCGCACTAGAATCTTGAGCGCATGTTCACCTTCCTCTGGTGTTAGTGAACCGATAGTGCGTTCGCTCCGGGGGAGCCTTGCGTTACTGAAAAATCGGTAGCATCGTGCTACGACGCGTACTAGCTTGGCTAGGTCCGAGAATCGTTCGAACAGTGATGAATCGACGGTTGTGCTATGCAGAACGATGTTTGGGCAGGCTTCTTGTTGCAAATCGGAAGTGTCCGGCGTCGAAAACGCACACTCGGGCCAATTGTCAACGGGGGTTTTGAGAAAACTCGGTCCATGCCACCACAAATCGTCCTTCGAGATCTGGCTTGCCATCATTCCTCGAGAAATCCGGTCGGCTGAATTCAATTCCGACGGCACATGCCTCCACGTGCAATCCTTCGAGAGACGCTGTATTTCAGCGATGCGGTTCGAGACGAAAACCTTCCAGACATTCGACTGTGACTTGATCCAATGTAGAACGATCGTAGAGTCCACCCAGAATGTTGGAGGTTCCACGAATTCGGTGTTTCGACGTAGATTATCGACAAGCTGGCTACCGAGCAGCGCAGCGCAGAGTTCCAGTCGAGGAATAGACTGTCCACGCAGTGGAGCAACGCGTGATTTGGCAGTCAGTAGATGGCTGTGGAGCTGTCCGGAATCGTCACGAGAGACGACGTAGATGCAACAGCCGTATGCTGTTTTCGAAGCATCGCAGAAGCAGTGTAAGCTGTATTGGCGACTCTGCACGGCTCTGCGTGGCACGGAGAGAGCTTGTAGTTGGCTGAGCTCCGAGCGGTAGACTGCCCACCAGGCGGCGTCTTCTTCGGACAGCCCTTCATCCCAGTCCAAGTGTTCTGCCCACAGAACTTGGACAAACATCTTGGCTTTAATCACCACTGGTCCCAGGAGGCCTAGAGGATCGAATAGCTGTGACATTTCGGACACGACGAGGCGTTTTGTTGTGGCGTTCAGCGGTGGCAGAGCTGGTATCTTAAATTTGAATGTGTCCGATTGTGGAAACCAGAGAAGTCCCAAGGTCTTCACAGTAGGAGAGCGATCGATTTCAAGCTCCCGCGAGGTTTCCCACAGCTGACGAGGAATGCTTGCGAGGACGGCGGCATCGTTGGTCGCCCACTTCCTGAGCACGAGGCCGGCTTGCTGCAGCATCTCCATCAACTGACGACAAGTTTCAGCGAGCGTATCTAGGTCGTCGTGGCCGGTGAGTACG